TAAACAACGCTATTCTCGCTCATAGTGTTGATTCCGGACATCGTGTGGAACCCAACGAAGCCTTATGGGTGATTTATAAGGCCCCACCACGCTACCCCAAGTCCCTGAATCAGTGTCGGCTAATAACAGCAGGAGCACTAGCTACCCGCCTGAAGAAGCCGGTCTTGTGTGCGCAAAAGAACTTCATGCAAGCTCCACGCTTGGCGTGACCAACGGTAACTAAACTGCATGCACGTTTCCACGCGCTTTCCCTCTCCTCCTTTTACCTGGTTCGCCTTCAACAAACTCTCACGGCCGCGTAACCAACTGCCTCTTACCGACTCCCAATCCCTCCTCCCCCATTCCCACGGCTAACTTCTATGGTAAGATGAGCATTATTGACCGCTTGTTTAACTTCCACTCCGTTCGCGTATAAATGTAATGGCCCGTTGATTATTTATCGAAAGCCTACGTACTCATGGTAGCTGCTCTTCCGTCTTGTCTATCCAAAAATATTGTTTTCTATTGTAGAACGACCTTGCTAACTCAAGCTATTTTTAAGCACGTATATCAGTGTTTCTGCTTCCATAGGACATCGAAATAAAAGAGACATCTGCGATGGGGTCGAGTGCATCTCCGCCAGCTCCCGTTGCACAGGTAGGCCAACTTTTCTAGTATTTTTTTTTGAAAGTGTACATTTGACTTTGATCGTTTCAGTTTATGTTTATTTTTGCGTTTAGGACGCCGGTGCTGATGCTGCCGTAAATGCCGAAGTTGGCAGCGGACCTTTCGTGCCTGGAGCCCGACCACTTGATGAGGTGGAGATTCCGAAGGCGCTCGGTGACATCTTCGAATCTCTTGCCGGTGCAGTATTTATTGACTCAGATCTCTGTTTGAACACCGTTTGGCGTGTCTTCTATCCTCTCATTAAGGAACGTGTCGGTATGTTTGCTTATATATTTCACTACTCACCCTCATAGAGTCCATTATCATAGCCTGGAGTGACCAGTGGTTCTTTTGGCCAAGGCTTCCTTCACTGTTAATTTTAATTCGTATTTGCATCATCGTCGTAGTAATTCTGTCACTATTACGCAAAACGTATCAACTTCATGGTTTTTGTTCCTAGTATTCTGTCCGTTTTTGTTGATAACTATGGAAACAAAAACCAACAGTCAAAAGGAGGCGTCTTGTAGAAAGGCCAATACCTACATTTTGAGAGCTTCGTCCCTACGCAGTGGAAACGAAATCTGGTACTTACACTTCTCCAGAGACCTAAAAATATTTGCTCCAATGAGACCATACCGGCAGAGATTGCCTGCATAAAAAGGGCCCTACTTAAGCGTGGCTACCCTACCCTCTACGTTTCAGGGAAAACTACAACAGCCCTTTACGGCCGAAATCTACGGATCAGTCGGTTCCGAAAGAGCCCGTTTTTTTACATCTTTACCCTTTAAGAGACACGATATCTCAAATAAAATTAAACGACGACTACTTTGTCCCATACAGTGGATGTACTATGCAGCCGAGTTTGTTTTCTTCATGCCAACTAAAAGCCTTCCAGTTAACCGGTCAAAGGAAGCCTTGCCTTTGCACGCTACCCCAAACTGCGTCAATGAATTCACGTGCACTTGTGGATGCAAGTACATTGGCCGTACGCAAAGGCAATTGGCGACCA